AGTACTACCAAATAAACTGTAGAGATATATAAATGGTGAGATATATATTCTGTGCACATAGACACAAAACAAGAATATTTTAGGGGATGAAGAGATTTCATCTAAGGTAATTTGACTGCTACTATATCCTTTTGATACATAAAGAACCAAGACAGAACAATATGAAGAAGACAGTCAATATAAAAGATATTGCAAAATTTGTAATCTATGAGGATGTTGCTGTGTCTCTGTAGAGTACAACCTGTTCTCACTTCTGCAGATCTACCACTCCTGTTCAATGTGGATCTGACCACTCACAGATTTATATTCACAACCCAAAGACAGACACACAGACTTTGACAAAGAGAATAGAACACAGCCATCACCATCATCATCTACTGTGATTTATAGATTTTAATGTGTTTTACTGATAATCCATTTTCCTATTCTAACTATCAGCCATTGCAAGCAGTACCTTACCACATAAGCAGTACCTCAGAATAGTCACCAGAGACCTATGTTCTGGGGGCAGTAAGCAAAGAGGGAACAAATAGAGTCTTGCTACAGCACTAGCGAACACAAATTGCTTCTGTATGATTAAATAACAAAGGTTTGTATGTAATTCCTACCAGGTGATTGCCCTGAAGATGTTATGTACAGAGATATTCTTGGGCTCCAACACTGGCAAAGTCTGAGTTTTTCTGAAGGCCGCTCTGCTTTCTAGAGGCAAGCACAGATTTTTTTGTATAATCTAATATAAGTTGTTTTCCAGAAGTATGGTCTTTGTGTGAAGACAGCTGTTTTGTGGGAAAAACATTACTGGACCTCAGTGAAAAAAAAAAAAAAAAAAAAAAAAAAAAAAAAATCTGACAGTTTGAAGCTGAAAGCTTTCTCCGGTAAGTGGACAGAATGACCAAATTTTGCTTATAATTTAAGGAAGTATGGGATCTTTGACTGGAAAAATATAACAGCCTGTGTGAACTTGACAACAGGAGTACATAAAGTTAATAAAAGTGATTGCTGCATTTAATAGCTACTGATGGATGGGCTTTATTTCTATTAAATTTCTACCCTTTTTCAAATCCAATTATACCTCTTTCCTTCCTAACTTTCTGTGGCAATAGTTTCTACAACTTAACGATAAACCTTGCAATAAAAGTTGAAAAGATATTGTTGAAAAGTTGGTTTAGACCTACAGTTTAATAATGCAATGATCTATATCTGCATTGTCATGCTTTGAGAAACACGGAGTATTTCCTTTTTCACATCTTCAGAGCAATTTTGCAAGATGTAACGTGTAAACACACACAACTTTTTCCTGAAGCATTCAGCTCAGAACACTAACTCCTGAAGAGCCTAACAATACTGCCACATAACCTTTTTTTAAAAAATTACTCTTCCTATAGGATCACTAATCATTCTTAACTTAGGTACAGTATTAAGAAGCAAACAAATAGATGAAAAAACGTAACAGGCACACCAAGCTCCTCCAGACCTGTGGAACTGTGACAGACAGGAAGAAAACAAATTAGTTCAGCAAGGTACTGAATAGACTTAATTTCAAATGTTACTAGCTTAATACCAATTTTGATTTCCTTCGCATAAACCACCATTTATTTTTGTTACTGAAAACATACCATAACTCATCTGTGAAAGATTACTATAGATTTTTGAATTACCAGTAATGCATTTAAGATAAATAAGTTTAATTTCAAGTTATTCCAAGTGTTTTATAATACCAACATTAATTTTTAACAAATTAGATTATATTGACTTTTAAAATAAGGCTTCTTTTGGAAGACTTATAATTTAAACAATCTTCAGGAAACGATTTTCTACTTAAAGTTAATTCTCCTGTGAATCCATGGAAAACAAAACAAATTCTGATCTATAGGAGCTACACTTTGCAATATTGTCTGTATACAAGTTGACCTATAGACTCATTCACAAGGACTAACTGGGGGATTTTTGTCCATTCTTTGAATTCTTTTGAAGAGGAAGTTGTACCAGCTTATCTACATTAAATTATCTTTTACAGGTTTGTGGCATGTACCATATGCTTCTGGTGATTTACAAGATACTACCAAACTCACTTCACCTGCACTAGCAACTAGACTGGAAACAAGAATAGAAAACTGTAATGACAGTGTTTTTATTTCAGTGCATTTGTAGTATTTTGCAATGCCTCAAATCATATTTCAAAAGGTAAATTATTATGTAGTGTAATGTCTGACTACCTGAAAAATAGAAAATAAAAGGTGAAAATGGACCTATTATAGATTTTTCACCTACACACATTTTCCAAAACTCTAAGTCAGTCATTGTTACTTTTAAAATGTCACAATTTTCATTTCATTAAATACTTTTAGATTTAGGATTTGAAAAACAGGATTTTTCTGCCATGGAGTCAACTCCTGAACTCAAGTCAAAATATAAGGGACTTTTCCTATGGGACTAATGGCTCTGCCTACTTGGTCTTTCATCACTTTCAGTAATTAACAAACAGTAAAATGCTAATTAACTTACTTTAATTGATAACATGAGAAAACACAACTTTCCAGTATTATCCCTAATCATGCTCCAAATTGATCAAATAAAGATAATTCATTCAGCTATGAAAGCACAACTACAGAATCACAGAACATATTGCCTATCACTCTTCTTATCTCAACCCAGGGCAATACTGCTTGTCTGATTTAAATGCAGCTGGAAAGGAAATACCACACAGCCACTGGCTCACTCCAACCTTCCCTGCCAGGGGCAGGGAGGGGAATTGTAAAGAAAAGGTAAATTTCATAGGTTGAGAAAGAGCAGTTTAATAATGGAAAGGGAATAAAATATAATGCTGATAACAATAACAGAAATTAATACAATAATATTCACTCTACTGTCTTTGTTATTGTTATTGTTGTTACTGAAAAGAGAAAGAGAGGAATAAAACTCCAGAACAGCAAGTGATGCACAATAAAATTGCTAACCACTTGTCCTCAATCAGTGATCAGTGCCCTCCAGCAGGTCCCTGCAGTTTACACACAGAGTATGACATTCTGTGGTATGGAATATCCCTTTGGCCAGTTGGATCGTCTGTCCTGGCCATGCTCCTTCCTGGATTGTTTTGCTCCTTCTCACTGGCAATGCATGGGAAATGGGAAAGTCCTTGACTTAGGGTAAGCACTATTCAGCAAAAATTGAAGCATCACTTTGTTATCAATATAATTCTCATTCTAAAGCCAAAAAACTGTACCAGCTACAGGAAGGAGATTAACTTTATCCCAGCCAAGAACAAGACACACAGCAAAAAGCTCTGGGATGATTGTCACATCTTAAAAAAAAAAAAAAAATGCACATCTGAATTACTGAGATTTCTATCAGTATTTCTATCAATAAATTAATCTAACCAGGTTTACCACAGACAGCTGAGGATCATTGTACAGTCTTCTGTGTCCATGAGTGAATCACTAACCTGCAGGCTCATCAATATTCTGAACACACTTGAGCCACTCATCTTTGTCCATTTTGCCAGGAACACCCACAAATGTTAATGAAAAGTTCCAAGTCTTAAAGAGTTTGAATGTACAGCAGAGTTAATTTCCTAAAGCTAGAATTGATGCTATTAAATGTCCTTTTTTATCAAAATCTACACTCAGTTTCAAAAATTAGGGCAAATATGTTAATTATATAGAACAATGTAAAGTAACCCTTGAAGTTACCTCATCTTGCAATCCCTTTCTGATATTGCCACAGAAATGAATGAGGAATACTGAAACATGAATAACATTCTTATCACTTATATGGATTACAGCACTAATATCAGCAATAGAAGTACCTTCTTAAGGACACAGGTCAATAAAAGACAATACACAGTCTTTAGCTCTTGAAAGTGATAGCAAGTTTTAGCTGTAGAAGTCTGCAGGTTTTGGACATCAAATTGTCTGCTTTGTTCTAGATATTTTGCTTCAACAGACACACAACAATTTATTTTGGTTTCTCAAACTGAGATAATTCAGAATTTTTCAATAAAAAAGGAACTGTATTGACTGCAAGAGGAAAAATAAATACATAGACATATTTCACCGTGCCCATGCTATTAACTAGGGCCCACTGAGATCAAATTCAAATCCTTGATTTGAATTGCAGCTGTCCAGTACTTCTCAAGCAGTCACTACACCAGAGCAAGGATCGTTATCTAAATGAATTGAGGCACAGTCTGCCATATTATCTGAGATCTCCCAGGGTCATTCACATCTTAGTATGGGAAACCAGGGATTTACCCTCCCACCTCTATGCCTATTCCACTCTGTACCTGGGAAATAGAAATCTTTTCAAGCAAGCGTTTTCTTCAAAGTAATACTGTTCCCACAAAAACTTTTTATTTACATCTAGTGGTAATTTATTTCCACCCAGCCCCAGTAGAAAGCCCTATCTCTCAGAGTAAACCAAGTCTTGAAGTACTCTGGAGTCTACTCTTGCTACAATGGTTTGTTTTTTTTTTTTCTGATTAATTTACTCAAAATCATTTACACCATATTCCCTAAAGACGCCTACAAACTTCAGTGAATACAATAATCTATGAGGGTACTTTTTTCTATAATTAAAATAAAATAAAATAAAATAAAATATCAAAGATGAGATCCTGGAACAAACAAACAAATAAACAAAAGCCTAAAAACAACCTACTTGCCCACCCCAGTGCAAAACAGCAGCTGGAGTTTCTAAATGAAAACTCACAGCCCTATAATCTCACTGAAAACTGCTGGTACAATTACCTGCCTTGATTTGTGGCAGAGATATTCTCAGAAACAAGCATTATTTGTACCCATGTACATCTCACGAGAGAGTGAGTAGTTTTGTGTAACATTTCTCCTCTCATTAAAAAACAGACAGGTACAATGCTGACATCCTTGTTTATAACAGACAGAAAATGCTAGAAATTACTCGTTGTCTAGGATACTGATTTAAAATACATTAAAAAGCTGCACTATTCCTATAAAGACTCTGAGACTAAGGCTTAAAATACTTACTTAATAACGTCTCCTTCAAGAGCAATCACTCGTTTAATGATCTTCTGTTCAGGATTTCTAGGAGACCTGAGACAGGAGATAAGGTTACACAATCAGTACCATTCCCATTGTTTTAAGAGAAGAAAGAAATAGACACTATGGAAGCCATTAGAAAATTCCATGTTCTCCTTGAGTTAGCATCAGTCACAATGTTCCACGGGGAAGTGAAGCTTCTGCAATCCTTGTCACTGCAAACCATCACTGAAAGCAGTTGATCATCTGCTTACAAACAGCACATAATCCACATACTTTTTGTCATGAAAAATACACTCCACAACATTAAAAGCAAAGCATCCCACGAACCAATGAGGCAGGTACCTTTGCAAACACATTAATGTATTAAAACCTGAATCCCCCATCATTTTTTAGGAAAATGTGTTAAACATTTATGTCATTCAATTAATTTGAGAGGAAAAAAAATCTTCCTATATTATATTAATATCTATCATTAATTTAGGTAAGCCTTGCCTAGGGAATTGTGGAAGTTTAAAAATAGAAGTTGAAAAATTTTCTGAAAGATCCAGCTTCTGAATGCACTGTTTTTCACTTAAAGTTATTTTCCCATAGCATCCTTAATTGAGTAGATTCTGATCATGCATCACATAATAATATGAGAAAGCAAAGATGAACTTGCACGTACAGCCTGATTATTCCAACTTCCTGGATATATATAATTAGATAGACTATTAAAAGTGTTATTCTACTGTAGTTTTGACAGGTTAATGTAGATATATATTCACCATAAATTTTCTTTTTCTTTATCATTTACCTCTGTTTTTTACTCTTCACTTTTAATTATCTAACTATGCAAACTTAGAAGAAAATCTCCATGTTATTAAAAAACCAATTCTTTTTATTTGCTTCTTGTACACAGAAAAGTCAGGGATGCAACAAACTATTTCCTACTGATGTTTGGATTCTCCCTATTAAGGTTTCAAGTACAGTCTGCTAGACACATCAGAGGTGTATATTACAGTTTTCATGGCTAAAACCATCTTTGAGCTCATCTCTGGTCAAATGGTAAGATTACACTTCTTTAAAAAGCAATGCTGAGCTAAGTCTGGATGAAAAGCTTGCCCACACTGCTGCATGACTAAAGGCATTTGAGGTTCACTTTCTGTTCCAAAGAAAAATGGGTTCAGAATTATTTGTTTCAATTTTTTTTATTATTGTGCCAAAAAAAAATCCAAATATTTTAAAATTAGTTTGAGGTTTTAATATTTTTATTGTGTGTGCATGTCAATACATTAGAAATAAATTTCTCTTTCAAAGTAATGCAATAAAATTCAAGAAGCCTAATTTTGAATTTCAAAATATCAAATAGCTTCCCTTTACAAAGCCTGGAAACCAAGCCTGGAAATCTATTTTCAACAAGAAATGAAGAACACTGAACATGAATAAAGACCATATATTTATTCCCTAGCCATCACTCAAATTTTCAAATCATTATGTAATTTACAGTAATATTTTATTTAGCATTAATTTTGCATGAATAGTTGTATATTCCAGTTTTCAGCCTTACATTTCACATTCCTTCTTAAGGTAGAAGCACACAGTTTCATCATATTTTATATGTCAATCTTAGGAGGAATTAATCAAGTTTTAGATGCTCATATGATTTAAATATATGGAATATCCACAGCACTTTCGGATGCTGCTCCTTGCAAGCAACACTTGCTTTGTTGAGCACTTATTTGAGCATTGACCATGTCCTATTCTCAACCAAAGCACAGTCTATGAAAAGACAACACACCCTTATTATAAGCTGTTATAAATTTCAAATATTTTTAAAAGTTACTTTACTGTTAATTGATTTAAATTTTAATCCATTTAAGCCCAGGCTGTAATATTTTCATGTAAAATTTAAGCAATGGAAATGATAATACATAATGTATGTGATGAAATGTGCATTTCTTAAAGACTGAATCAAAACAAATTGTATGTTTGCTCTTTCAAAATTCTCTTTTGGTTTACAGCTAACTTTCAAAGTAAGGTTCTCAGCAATTTCCCAGCAAGCATTTCCACTTCATTAGAATATATATATAGGAATGCATTTATTGACTTCTCACTTAATTTTCTTTTCTTGTGCAAAACTTTCCACTGACCTTGGAAAAACATCTCTCTAAATTTGAGGTATGGTAGTTATTCTAAGAGTAGTTACTTTTTTGCTAGCAATAATATGTTTAAACCAAACACATAAATTTTCAGAAAAACTTCAAGGAATTTCTTGCAGATATTATTATGAAAGAGTAATATTTTTAATATTGGAAGCCAGAATATTTTTTAAATAAACTTCATACTAACATTCTGATCATAATTCATTAAAATGGTAAAGGACTGGTAAAAGACAGATTAGCAGGCTCAAAGTGGCCAATAATAAAGTTTTAGACCAAGAATTTTCAAGAGCTGAGCCAACTGGTTTTTTTTCAAGAGCCAGTGTACAGCCAGGAGGTAAGAGAGACTGGTTCTGAAGTGATGGATGTCGATGCCTTCCTGAATGGTGTAGAGCATAACACTAGGATTTCACTGATTCTTTTTGTGTGAAAACACAAAAAACATACAGGCCATTTCTGTATTCTACATTCAATCCTGCAGAGAACAGTGTGGAATCACACTAACACAAAGCACATTTACCAGGAAAAATAGGAAAAATTATATAGCCGGCAGAAAAAATCCACTTTTTAGCAAGTAATTGTCAGATAGAAATGGTGACAATTCCCTGAAAGCTTTCTCTTTACATATGTAGCAACTGAGTATTTCAGTCAATATTACTCCTAAACGTCTCCCTTTCAACCACTTGGATTATTTATGTATTGGGCAGTGGATACTGCCCAATTTTAAATAATCACTCCATGACATAATTAACATTTGATCAAACAAAAAATTTTCATAACATTTCTTGGTTTTGTATGTGTCATTTGAGTCTTCTTTCATTCTTTGAATTTTCTAACTACATTTTTCTCAAGAGCCTGCTCAACAAATCATCCTCAACTTCCATTTCTACTGGCTTTTCTAGAGAGAATTTTTTTTATAAAATGTCCTAAAATCCCAGCAAAATAACTGAAGCACTGTTCAACTAAATAAATACTACAACATACAATAATACTTTTTTTCTTGAATAAATACTCAGGTATTTTTGGTACCTGCATTAGAAAGAGACCTGAGTCTGTGAGCTCATTGAAAAAACAGACAATATATTTCAAAGGGATAGCTTCAATTACATACTTTAATTATCTACATGTGTTTAATGTTACCCATCCATTATCACAGACAACCTGGAAAAATTCTGTGCTCACTCTTTGAAAATTGTTGGAATTTTTATACCAACTCAGCAACTTCTAGAACAGAACAAATAGCAGGCATTTATTAAAAAGTTGTAGAGAAAAGTGCCCAAAGTTTTCAATTTTTATATGTCTATATCTATTTATCTATGTACATGCATAAGTATGTATATTACTGTTAGAAAACTGCTTAACTTTTTATGAGATAGAAGCAAGATGTTTAGGCTGCAGCCTCAAAGTTTGTCTTCAGATTATTCTTGGTTTACTTCAGATTGAGTTTTATGTGATTTGATCATCATTTACATGGTGGCAACAGAAGAAATTAGACTGTGTTGTTGTAGTATAAACAGACTCAAACATTGAAGACAATCTTCTTCAAAATTAAAATTTCTGCTTCTATTTATGCTGTTAAGGACAGATACATAAATGGATTTAACTCCGTAAAACAGGATAAGAGAGAATTTTTGAGCTCTCAGCCTAACATTGTGATCCAAAACCATTCACTCAGTGAGCTCTTCATTTCTCAAAACTAATTCCTCTCTCATCAAAAATTCTAGCATAGCTGGAGTCTGTGCTTCTGGGAATTTCCAGGATTGATGCAGGAGGAAAAATATGCTGTTTGTCTCCTTCTCAACCCATTTGGGGATCCAATAAATAGCCAGAGGAGTATCTAAAATGTTGACGGAGTCCAGAATAAGTGGCATTAATATATCTAAAGAACCGAGAATCTCACAGTATGCTTTTGGTGGCTTTACTTAAAAGCATGCTTGAAGGAAGCAGTGGAGCCACCTCATTCTTATTTTCTGTTGCTCATCCTTGCTTCCTGTTGCCAGCATAGTAGCTGATGCTCAAACTCTGTACAGAAGTAAATACGTATCCACTCTTTCATTCCTCCTAGCCCCATCGCTATGACAGAACAGATCCAACACAGACAATTCTAAATACTGCACAAGAATGGAAATTTACTTAATATATGCACATACTCTCCAAACAAAAATATTTTTAATCTGCTTGTTTAACTTTTTTCCCAGTCCATAACTTTAATCTAAATTCCATGCTTCTTCACGCAGATAGAGAATTTCATCATAAATGCAATATCTAATTACATCATAGGTTATAACACAATTTCTATACTATGGCAAATAGCATGGAATGTAACACTGAAAGATAAAAATGTTCACACATTTTATTCTTGCTTTTTCTTTCATTCTTGTTATCAATTTCTCTTGTACAGAATTACTGCAATAAATGTATCCAGTACCAGGCTTAGTATCATTAGTATTATTATAGTGTTCAGTTTGGACCCACAAGTACAAGAAAGGTATTCACAATTGGAAAAAGTGACACCAAAATAATAGTAACAGAAGAGCAATGCAACAGCAGTGACTAAGGAAATCAGGTTTGTGCAGATCAGAGATTAGGCAAAGGGTTTAATTGCTATTGTCATCTCTCTAATTGTTGATTAAGAATTCAGAATTTTTGGAAAGGTACACAGCAAAAGAGGTTAGCAAACAACATGAGTTGCTGAAAGGGAAATTCTAGTGGTGCAGTTTGACCTGAGAGGCTGAGAACCACAGACATACTCAGAGCTCAATGGGACACAGGTCTGGACAGTCTGACCCAAATTCAGAGTCTAACCTGCCTTGAGTGGTGGTAAGATTAGACAGTCACTAGAGATGCCTTAAGACATAAATTACTTTTCACTTCTACAGCCTTTAGTCTTATGCAAGTTTATGAAGAATTAGG